GAAGACAGGTCTCTAGGGACCAGGCCAGGGGCCCTCACCAGACACCAATCTGTCAGCACATTAATCCTGACCTTAAGCCCCAAAAATAAAATTCTGCCCTTTAAAAGCAATTCAGCTTCTAAATTAAGACACACTGTTGGTATATCATACAAGAAAGTCGCCTTTAAATTAAAAGAAAGAAAGAAAGAAAGAAAGAAAGAAAGAAAGAAAGAAAGAAAGAAAGAAAGGATTCTTGAATCAATAACAAAACACATGGGGAAACAAAATGGTAGCGTCTAATGAGAAGAGAGCAAAGAAAACTACCTGGGAGGTTAAGGCAGGAGGATCACGAGTTCAAAGTTTGTCTGGGTTATAGAGAAACTTCAACTAGACAAGCAACTCAGTGAAATCTGTCTCAAAACAAAGAGTAAAATGGCAGGTGAGAATACAGCTTGTGTAGCAGCATACTTATCTGGCATAAAGGAGGCCCTACCTTCTATCCCTGACACCAAAAATGAAAAAGACTGGCACTATATCTCAGTGGTAGAGTAATTCTTACTATATGCGAGGTCTGAGTACCACCCAAAACCCCCACTCTCAAAAGAAAAGAATAAACTAACTCTGCAGTAAGGACAATCAGAAACAAGGAAGGCTAGTTGCTGTGAATATAAAATAGAGATTGGAGGGAGAGACAAGAACGGACAAACCAAGACCAGATAGAATATCCCTGTGGTTCTCCAAATGAAAGGCAATTAACACAAACAGAACTGCAACTGTGACAGTGATGATGGACATATAGAACAACAGTTGGAAGGAAAGCAAGACATGTGTGATGGTAAAAAGGCAGTGTCAGAGATAACATGTATATTTCTGGTTAAGTCACTGACTCACAAAAAGACCAGTTTGTATAGCTTCTATTTTTGCTCAATGGAGAACTAGAGATAAGACTTAGGCTTTAAGTGCATCAATTCACCAATCAGAAAGCAATGTCTGAGTAGACACATACCCAAATCTAGAGTCCATATGGAAGTCACTGGCTGATAGGAGATAACCAAAGCCATGACTGTAGATGTGATTACTAAACAGAAAGAACAAAAGCCTCAAAACACTGAATTTTAATGTTGTAAAAGATGAAGAGCTGAATGAGACAGAAGAAATGGCAAAAGACTAAAAGAGAACCAGGAGCTTGTGGTAACACCTAAAAAATACTAAAAGAAACAGTAGGCATATAGACTAACACTAGAGAAGACCAGTGGTTCTCAACCTTTCTAATGCCCTTTAATACAATTCCTCATGTTGTGGGAACCCCCAGCCATAATGTTATTTTCTTTGATACTTCAGAACTGTACTTACACTACTTTCATGAACTATAATGCAAATATATAATATGCAGGATATTGATATGGATCCCTGTGAAAGGGTCATTCAACCCCATCCTCCTTGACCCACAGGTTGAGAACCATTGCACTAGAGAGTAGAGTTTAAAAAGAAAAAGAAAAAAGAAAAAAAAGAAACTAAAAAGTTGATTTTGATTCTATATTGAAGAGCCATCACTAGCAACCTCTCAAAAGAGCAACCATGAGTGGTGCTACACACAGAACTAAGTCTGAGAGGCTGAGATACTCAAGACTTCTCCCTACTGACTCCATGTGGTAAAGCAATTTGCAGATGCCTAGAATTTTGAAGGTTTGGGACTAATTTGAGAATCAGCTAACTAAATGAATAATCCTGGAATTAACATTTTAATTCTTCCTACAATTTTGCAAAATTTAGCAAAAATAGGACTGTTGTGATGATTAATAACTACTGTGTTTTATTCAAAATCTGATACTGGCATATTTCTTTATATGAATGGAGAAATATTCTAAGCTTTTGGTTTTTTTTTTTTTTTTTTTTTTTTTTTTTTATTAAAACCTGGATTCACCTTTTTCTTATAAACTTTATAAGCAACCCTCTGGATGGCACTTAGTCATATTTCTAGAAGTACTGGGCTGCCAAGGTGGCTCAGTGGGTAAAAGCACCTAGTTCCAAGTCTGATAACCTTAGTTTAATCCCACGGCTCCCTATTGTCAAAGGAAAAGTGAACCCTGCAAGTTGTCCTCTGACCTTCACAAGCATATTATGTTTGCTGTATGTACACACACACTGGTGTACATACACATGCACAAATAAGTAAAATGAAGTTAAAACTGCTCTTAAAACACATTATATCAAAAATTAAACATTTTTTCTAAGCTCACTTTTGCAGCCTTAGACTAATTAGAAATGTTAGTTTAACTTATTAGCATCAATGACAGTGCCTTCCATATTCCATCAAAATTTATAGCAGTTATCTTTTTTACACCAGAACTGACATCTACTATTAAGTGACTCGATACAATAATAATGTAACAGAACAGAAATAATTCCTCGCCACATTTTAAGTAGCTAGCACCAAATACACTGTAGCCAAGCAATTTTTTTTTTTTCACAAATGTGAATGGATGGACGGACAGACAGATGATGGGGTGGGGGCGGGGGCGGGGGCGGGGCGGGATGATAGCAGACAGATAGGATAGACTGCTTACAGACAGACAGACAGACAGACAGATAGATAGATAGATGATAGATGACAGATAGACAGATGGACAGATAAACCGACACAGACATATTACACACATCAATAATATTCATCTTTCAACATTCCCTTGCCTCTGGAATGTCTCTGTGGTACCAGGGGAAACACTGCATGAAGGCTCTTTAGATGGGGAAATAAGACTAGCTCATAGCTGTGCACACATCATGTTAGGTCCAGAATGCCTCCAACCTCCCCAAGTGGCAGTGCTGGTGATATTGTCCTAAACAAAAGGACTTTGGCCAGGTAGGTATACAGAAGGAATGGTACCAGGTAAACAGGCAGGTTTCTGCTAACTAGAAAAGAATGGTTTGGTTTTGTTTTTATGTTTGGTTTTGTTTTTTTGTTTGTTTTTGTTTTTTTCCCCCAACTCTATGACAGGAAGGCAAGCAAAACACAACAGCCCAGGAAAACACACTGTGCGCTTTAAAACAGCTAAAAAATAAAACTACTGCCAACAGGGATTACCTCATACTCCTGCTTCTTGATTTTAACTCTGTAAATACTGCCCTCTCTTATACCTCTAAAACTTTTCCTAAAGTATAAAGTTTATCTCAGGATTTGTAAGACCCCTGTGCAAACGTTCTGTATCTCATGATTTGTAAGTTCATTTGGGGGTAGTTCATAAAATGAAATCTGTAAAATCTGTAATAAAAATTTAGCTTAAAACTTGTAATAGAAAGGATAAACAACTCTATATAGGTTATCTTTCTGTTGTTTTGATTTTGGTTTGTTTTGTTTTTCAAGACGGGGCTTCTCTGTGTAGCTCTGGCTGTCTTAGAACTTAGTTTGTAGACCAGGCTGGGTAGGAGGTAGGGGGGTGGAGGGAGGTGCCCCAAGATGCACCAACTCCCAACCCCAACCCCAAGACCTCTGTCTCCCAAGGACAGACAGCTCTCTTCTGAGCATGCTCCTTGGTCCCCCACCTCTCCTGCCACCCCCTCCTCAGAGGGGAGGGAGAAAGAAGGAAACACCATCTCTCCTCCCTGTGCAGCAGTATATCAAGTGCCAAACAAGGGAGCAAAGACATAGTATATTACCCAAACAGAATTCATAAATGCTTAGAAACTAGCCTAACTGAACTTAAAAGAACAGAAGGCCAGTAAGAACATGATTTAATATTATACTGACTTTCTGCAAAACAAATTCAAAGCTATTCCCACAAAAAATAAATAAGACAAATATTTTTGAAATTTCTGAATATTTCTGAAATAGCTTACTCCATTTCATCTTTCTTCAACCTCAAAAGATTTTTCCTCCTCTATTTAACAAGGGAGGCTGAAAAAGAGCATATTATATCTAAATATTCATTAAAGGTTTTACTATATATTTATGATACATATAAACTAAAAATATATGCCTGTTGTTAAAAGTTACTAGTTCCTTTTCTTTGCTCCAGTTACCTCATTTGATGCCTAACTTCTCAGTAGTTGAAACCCGAATTTCTAAAGACAGAGCGAATGAAAACAAAATGCAGCAAATGGGAGGGTGTTCCAATGTGGAGTAAAACTTCTGTTGAATAAGTAGTTCCTTCAACATTCAGAGAAATTTCAATACATGTTAAATCACAAGCTGCTCGATGCCAGCCCAAGGTTCTATTCAGTACTTGTATCTCTAGACATTTCCTGAGTATGTCAACTGCATGACACATTTTGAAAAACATGGCTGTATAAAGTACTGGTTTTCAAGAGGTGACCAGAATGGAAATTTACTGGGGGTTACTGAATTAGTGAGTAGAGAACAAGAGTACTGCCTAACAGTCTCTACTATGACTAGACAGTACAGCACCAAAGAACCATCAGACCCAACACATCAGAGCTGAGTAGGCAGAGGAAGCTTGCAGTAGAGTACATACCACAGCTTATTCCACATGTGATCTGACCAGTAAAATGGTGAAGGTCCACATGGAGTAAGGACTCAAAACAGCAACTTTTCTTCTTCAATAACCCTTTGAATTTTTCTCAACTACAGCAAATGGAAAGTTTTGAGACACTACTGCTTAAATGATTTAACAAGCCTCAGGAGAAAATAAGTGTTTATATAATGTTATATAATGTTATTGGTATATTTCTAGCAAAGAAAAATGAATTAATATTCACTTCATATGAATTATAAGAAAACACTAATTTCCTTTAAATTAATGATGACACGGTAGAGGTGGCTCAGAGGTTAAGAGCACTGACTGCTCTTCCTAAGTTCAATTCCTAGCAACCACATGGTAGCTCACAACCACCTAACATGAGAACTAATGCCCTTTTCTGGTGTGCAGGCAAACACTGCAGACAGAGCACTGTACATATAATAAAAAAAAAAAAAAACTTAAAAAAATAAAATTAATGATGAAATGTTCACATACACTTGGCACTCACACCCATGCACACACACTCATGCAAACACATGAACTTACTCCAATAGGCTGAAAAATAAGTCCATCCATTTCATGGCTGACTTCTTTGGCAAAATTTCCTTCCAGAAGCTATAAAATAAAAGTAGATTGCTTAGAAATATAAATATAATTCAAAAATTATTTTAACTTCTTGCTAAGATTTATAAAATTCTCTCTGCAACGTGTAAGAACTGAGAAAGAGGGGAGAAGTAGAAACACTGTGATCCAGCTTAAACTAGGGATTTTGGGCCCTGATTTGTGACTTCATCTTTGCTGGCATCTCTTCCAACAACTATAATTTCACTAATGTGAAAGCAGTTTATATTAGAGTTTACACATGCTTATTTCTTATAATGTTAATATAAAGTCTTTTGTTATACTCAGTGATAGGAAATCTAAGGAGGGTTAAGATGATGCACACCAGCGTAAGTGTGTAAGTTCCAGGGTTGTTTCCCTTTGATGCTGGTCTTGAGACAGGATCCCAAGAATCTCAGGCTGACCTCAAACTTCCATTGTTCCTGTGCCCCTCGTCTAACACCCCACAGTCACAGTGCTGAGATTACATGAGCACTCCACCACATCTAGATGAGTTTCAATTCAGAAAAATGAAACAGCTCTGGAGACAGACAGCTATTAATGACTGTGCAATAATGAAAATGCACTTAAGGTTACTGGACTAAGTAGTTAATAATATTAAGATGGTAAATTTTACTATAATGTTCTTGAAATTTCCTTCTGATTTTTGTTTGTTTTGTTTCGTTTCCCCTCCATCAGCAAGTGAGCAGAGTTGACAAACTGAGATTCTCAGAGTCATTATTATGCAGTGTAACCAAATTTTAGAAGTATCAAAATTCATATATTTCTCTTCAATTCTCTCACAGGTTTAAGTGATACAGATGAGGAAATTTCACCTAAGTAAAAATTTACTACGTATTAAAATCTTTGACTTCTTATAAATAAAAAGAAAATAACAACAAAAACCCTCTAAAGTACCATGTGCCAAGTATCTACTTAACATTCATTCTGGACATAAAAAAACAATCTTACAATTTTAAGTAGATATGACACTTTCATGTGAGAGAAAATGAAATTCATTTTCATACTATTAGCACTAGGTAGGCAGACACATTGACTGAGTGATTTGACTTAGCCAAAACAGTTATAAATTAATGATAAGAAAAAGTTAAAACAAAAGCAAATATGTAACTTTGCTAATCTCTATACCATACTATGGAAAGTTGTCCAATGTTCAAAACCTAAATAATGAACTTCTAAGAAATTATGAATAAAAGAAATCAAAACAAACATTTTAAAGCATTTAGAAATGAGTAAGAACAAAACCAGAGTAGAGTTGGTGCACTAAATATATAATGTAGAAAGAAAGAGTAAAAGGAAGTGTTATTTATACAACAGGTTTTTTGGGCTTCTGTTTGTTTGGTTTTGTTCTGTTTTTGAGATTAAAACATCCCATCCTACAGGAAGTTCCTTAAACAGGAAGGTAAGCAACTCAAAATAGCATCAGAAAGTTTCTGAAACTGACCAGCTTCATTAGGCCCCTCCCTGTCACAGTAAGCAATAAAAGCCAAAGTCTCTCCTCCCCCAAAACAGAAGGCAGCTGAGCTATAAACTTCTTTCTTAAAACCAGACCAAGTACCTGGAAGAAGCAGAAACCAGCCAGGCTGCCTGGAAGAGGTTTAAACTGAGTCACTTGCAAAGGACACTCCCCAAACTGTTCAGCTGCCTGTGGGCTGTGCAGGTTGTTCCAAGTTTCTCAGATTTGATGAGCTGCAATCCATGCTGGAATGAGCTTTATTGATACAGCTGTCTTACATACATACATACATTCTCCCCCCCACCCCTCTTGTGTGTGTGTTAAAAACTTCAAACTGGAGAAGATAGGTCAAACCAGTCAGGCAATCTCCACAAGAAGTGTCAGCGTGAAAGACAGGCACTTATTTCTGATATTACATTCATAAATGTCTCTAAGGTCTTTTCTCTCCTTATCTATATTTTAAGTCAAACCTATTCATGAGTTGTCATGGTTCCCTAATGTAAAGCATAGTGACTTTAATTTCCTGGATGATTAACAGCCAAGTAAGGACTGGCGATATAGCTCAGTAGGTCAACCTAAGATGGATTCCAGAACTCCGTTTATTTTTTTTTTTTTTAGTGCATTTTTTTTTCTTTTTAACTTAATTTAGAAACAGTCATATTTTACATATCAATCCCAGTTCCCTCTCCCTCCCATCCAACCATGCCCTCCCACCTAACCTCCCATCCACACCCTCCCCCTATCCACTCTCCAGGGAAAGTTAGGCTTTCCAGGAGGGATCATCAAAGACTGTCATATCATTTGGAGCAGGGCCTAAGCCCTCCCCCATGTATCTAGGCTGAGAGAGAATCCCTCCATGGGGAATGGGCTCCCAAAGTCCATTTGTGCACTAGGGATAAATACTGGTTCCACTGTCAGAGGCCCCATAACTTCCCAGGCCTCCTAACTGACACCCACATTCAGAAGGCTCTGTTCAGTCCAATGCTAGTTCCCCAGGTTTATGACTGGGTCCAATGGCTCCCACTTCATCAGATCAGCTGTTCCTGTGGGTTTCTCCAGCCTTCTCTTGACCCCTTTAATTATCACTCCTCCCTCTCTACAACTGTATTCTAGGAGTTCGGCTCAATGTTTAGCTGTGGGTGTCTGCTTCTGCTTCCATCGGCTGCTGGATGAAGGCTCTACGATGGCATATAAGGTAGTCTCAATCTTATTATAGGGGAAGGGCATTTAAGGTAGCCTCTCCACTATTGCTTAGATTCATAGTTGGGGTCATCCTTGTGGATCTCTGGACATTTCCTTAGTCCAGATTTCTCTTTAAACCTATCTATTTAAACCTCTATTATGGTATCTCTTTTCTTGCTCTCCTCTATTCTTCACTGCACTCAATCTTCCTGATCCCTTGTGTTATCCTCCCTCCTCTTCTCCCTTCTCTTTTTCCTACCTTCCTCCCCACTTCCAACCCTCCCAATTTGCTCTTTGTCCTTTTCCCCTTCTCTGGGAAACCATGTATATCTCTCTTAAGGTTCTAGTTTCTCTGGAGGTGTGAACTCCAGAGGCTGAAGAAATCCAGAGAATCATCAAGTCCTACTTTGAAAGCCTTTCTCCACAAAACTGGAAATTTTAAAGGAAATTGACAATTTTCTGAATAAATATCATTTACCAAAATTAAATCAAGATCAGATAAGCAATTTAAATAGACCAATAACCCCTAATAAAATAGAAGCAGTCATCAAAAGTCTCCCAACCAAAAAAAGCCCAGGGCCAGATGGTTTCAGTGCAGAATTCTACCAGAAATCCAAAGACTAATATCAATACTCCTCAAAGTGTTTCACTCAATAGAAGCAGAACTCTTTTTGCAAGGCTACAATTACCTTGGTACCCAAGCCATACAAACACACAACTAAGAAAGAGAACTACAGACCAATATCCTTCATGAACATTGATGCAAAAATGCTCAATAAAATACTGGCAAATAGAATCCAAGAACACATTAGAAAAATCATCCACCATAATCAAGTGAGCTTCATCCCAGGGATTCAGGGATGGTTCAACAAATGAAAATCTATCAATGTAATCCACCATATAAATCCACCATATAAACAAACTGAAAAAGAAAAACCACATGATCATCTCACTAGATACTGAAAAAGCCTTTGACAAAATCCAACACCCCTTCATAATAAAGGTATTAGAGAGATCAGGGATAACAGGAACATACCTAAACATGATAAGGCACTATACAGCAAGCCAACAACCAACATCAAACTAAAACAAAAAACTCAACTGGATTCCTCTAAAATCAGAGACAAGACAAGGTTGTTCACTCTCTCCATAGCACTTCAATATTGTACTTGAAGTTCTAGCTAGAGCAATAAGACAACAAAAGGAGATCAAGGGGATATTAATTGGAAAGGAAGAAGTTAAACTTTCACTATTTGCAGAGGATATGATAGTTTACATAAGTGACCAGAAAAACTCTACCAGGGAACTCCTACAGCTGATAAACACCTTCAGCAAAGTGGCAGGATACAAACATACTCAAAAAATTCAGTAGCCCTACTATATATAGACAATAAATGGGCTGGGATCCCAGAACTCTTACAAAGGCAGAAAACAAGAACATATCCCCTGAAGTTAATCTGGACAGCGATAGGCACATCATGGCAAGCATGTGCATGGCCCCACACACATGCATGTGCTTGTACATCTCTTACACACAAACACACATGCATCACACCATGTAATATACATATATATATGCATCATACACACATACTACTAATAAAAATTTTTAAAGCTAAATAAAAATTTTCATTCAGCAATGTAAAAAAAAGAAAAAGAAAAAAGAAAGAAAAGAAATGGATATTGGGGATGCTTTGATAATATGTATCAGCCAATGTACCTAATTAATACCTTAATTTTAACAGGAATATTTAAATGTAATGGTGTAAATAAGCCATTTCTCCCTGTCAATCTTTCCTCAAACACACAATCCTATGTAAATTATCTAAGATATATTTAAAGCATTCCAAACCAAAGAATTTTAATTTGTAAATATTTAATTGCTAAACCCTCAAAGAAATTTTGCTGTGGAATATGCAGTAATTTGTCCTAAGCTACTGTGGTGCTAAGTCTAAACTGTCAACTAGACACAATCTAGAATCCTAGGAAGTGTTTCTTAATTAGGAACTATCTAAACACACCTGAGATGGATTTTCTTAATCAGGTTAACTGAGGTAGTTAGCACCATTCCATGGGCTGAGCCGTAGGCTGAATGAAAGGTGGGGAGAAAACTGAGCACTGGCAAGCATGCAAAAATTCATTTTTCTCTGTTCTTGCCTGTGGGTGTGATGTGACTGACTGGCTATTTGAAGTTCCTGCTACCTTGACTTCCCTGCTGAGAGTTGTCTGGGATTGTGAACCTGAGTACACCTTTCTCCCCTAAATTCTTTTTGTCAGGGTGTTTTACCATAGTAACAAAAATGTAAAAAAAAAAAAAATGAAGCCAGCACATTATCATACATTTTATCGTCCCTCTAGATAAAATTCAAAGATAACTAGAAGAAAAACAAAACAGTAGACACATCAAATAGTGTGAATCACAGCATAGTAGTCTTTTATAAATTTTCACTTACAGAACTCAAATTTGTTTAATGAACATAATCTCATATCTTGATTTCTATCTGAAATACAAAAGGCATACAACTTTCCACTGACCAAACATTTAAAGATTTTCTCTCAAAGGATATGTTATGTGTCTATGAATCATTCAGAAACCAAATCACTATAAATGCATAAGCAAAAAAAGACAGTGCTTAAAATTAGAAATATGAGAAACAAAACAGAAGCTGTAAAGTTCCAGTGCATGAAAAAAAAGAATCTTAAAATATTTTTTGAAATAGCAGTGTAAGACTATTGGCATTATCAATTCATCATTAACAACATCAATTAGAAAATGATATTATGTAATACTTAAACAATAAACAAAATAAATTCTAGTTTATTCTACACACACACTTTTTTTTTTTTTTTTCTTGGAACAAACAGCCCACACAGGTTCAGTTGACTGCCTGAGGGAGATACAATACAGTATCTGGTGACTTTTTATGAAACCTCACTGTTCCCCTAAAACCTAAAGTTTAGGATCCCCACAAAATGGAAGTTTAGACTTACCTGAATATTAATTTTTAATGTTTTTCATTCCCCAAGTCTAAGTTCATCCAATTTATCTATATGTTAAATATCTATATGCTAAGCAATAACTATCACAGAAAAATTATCTTTCCTGCTCACCACAAAACCAACATTACTATCTTCTCTAAAAAGGAAGTTAGCTATTAATATTCATACACAGGTTTTACATCATCATCATTACTGGTTTTCTTTCATTAATGTGATTATGATTAAAATTTATAAAAATCTAGTAAATCTCAACAGAAAAGATATAAGGAAATACAGTTCTCTGACTGTCAAATAGGAGGGACCCAGAATTAGGTAGAAATAAACCTCTGCGCATTCTGTGAGATAGTATGTAACTGGGATAACTGAGGTGGGCAGCACCATTCCATGAGCTGGGGGGGGAGGGGAGATCACAAAAATGAATTAAAAAGAACAAACAAACATGGATTGTAAAGAAGCGAGGAATGGATCTGGGAGGAGATGGAGAATGGGAGAATTTATTTTTATGATCAAAATACATTGTATTAAAACTCCCAAAGAGTTCAAAAAATTAAAAATTAGACATGCATATGCAAAAATTTAAGGAACCCTACCAAAACACAAAAAAGCTCAGAGATACATACTTCAATTGCAACATACAGATACAATGGCAATCTGTGAGACTATAAAAATAAAAAATACGCTGTACTCTAAACCCAGTCAGCTAATCAGTTGTAAGAGTACAGGTTTTTCCGCCTGCCGCTGCTGGTCTTGTCCCGGCGCCACGCCAGCCCCAAATAACACACTGAGACTCTGTATTAGATATAATTCTGTTGGCCCAGTTACTTGTTTCTTATCGACTAGCTCTGCCTTCATTATTAACCCATTTTTATGTAATTCCATGTGGTCTTACCGAGAGCTGAGGAATGGCAGTTCTGTTCTCTCCAGGCTCTCCATCCTGACTCCTCCTTACTACTTCCTCTTTCCTCCTTGTCTCTTAGTCCCTCCTATCTTCCTTTCCTATTGGCCAACAGTGCTTTATTCATTAACCAGTATAAGAAACATATACAGAATGACATCTCCCATCAAATCAGTGCTAGTGAAATCATGGTTATTAGAGGAGAATCTACAACCACTAATTTACTAAACCAGCATAATCCCTAAAAATCTATAAGCATTTGTCCTGATACCCACAGATAAGTTCAGCCTTCACCCCTCACCAAGTAACTGCTCTTTGCAACAAACAGCAAAAACTACAGAAAACCACACCAATTAACATGCAAAGTTGTGGAACCCAGTCCCAGCTGATTTATCTACAACATTCCAGGAAACTAAGTCAGGAAACATTGTAAAAGAGGGGGCAGAAAGTTTTTAAGACCAAAGGATCAGCTATGAGCCTATGTTGCCTAGCAACATTAGAAGCTATACCTGAAAAGTCTAACCACATTACTACCTAAACGTGAGCCAAACAAAGAAAATATTAACAAACAGATGCCAAACTGCATGGTGGAAGGGAGAGGGCTCAAGGCCTCAACTCTACACAAAGAACTACAGGCAACTGAGTAAAACTGAGTAGGAGAAGTGGTTCTTCCCAGGAAAGAAAACACCAACAGCTTGTTCAGCGCCAAATGGTCAGCCCTGAATGTATGTATGTATGTATGTATGTATGTATGTATGTATGTTATATTACAAGGACTCACCAAGTTATATTTGAGAATTATATGTGTGTATGTATGTATACATATATTTATGTATATGCACACAAATACATATTTGCATTCAATAACAAGTGATAAAAAAAGAGTTCATAAATTTAAAGGAGAGGAGAAAGGATACATGGGATGGTTCAGATGGAGAAAAAAAATTATAATTAAAATACAATCTTAAAAATAAATAACACTATAATGAAAAATAAAGGACAAAGTGTAACACCTCTCACCTGGGGTGAAAGGACCCAAGATAGATGGTCAGGATAAAAATTAAATAATAAAAATAAGAAGTACAGATCTTGCTAGGTGGTGGTACACGCCTTTAATCCCAGCACTCAGGAGAGAGAGGCAGGCAGATTTCTGAGTTCAAGGATAGCCTGGCCTACAAATCAAGTTCCAGGATAGTCAGGGCTGATATACACACCAAAAAAAAGAATCATCTCTTGATTAGACCTGGCAAAACTATGAATAATATATGTGTTTAAACAGTATAATAGAATTCATCTCCCAACCTAATACTTTTATTAATTATTTAGGAATTTCATACAGTGCACCCCCATCACATTCACTTCCCATTCCTCCCAGGTCCACCCTCCTACCCTTCATTCCCCACCCCCACCAAAAAAAACAAAACACCAAGTCCAATTTGTGTGGCCCATATACTCGTTGGAGCATGGTCAAACTTCCAGTGGCCAGCCCCTTAAAGAAAATTGAGTCCTTCCCCACAAGTCCACTCCTTCCAGAAGGCAACAACTGTGAAGAGCTACACTTCAGCATCTTTATCACAGTTTTTGAGGAGTCTCCACAATAGCTTCCTATATGGATTCTCATATTTTCATTTTATCCCTGCCCCCTCCCCTCTCTCCTCTCTCTCTCTCTCTCTCTCTCTCTCTCTCTCTCTCTCTCTCTCTCTCTCTCTCTCTCTCTCTCCCTCTCTCCTTTCTTTGGAGGGGGTTGTCACAGAAGCCTTCAATGTCTCTCATTCTCAGTTATGAGTCTACAGCCATCAACACCACTGCAATAGTTTCCTTGACCATGGCACCTAGAGGCAACACAGATATTACTTCCAACAATAATTCTAAATACACTAAAAACTAAAAGGAGCTGTTACTTTTCTGACTCAATTCAAAAACAAGTAGAGATATTTCAACTAAACTTTTTGCTCTATGCTTTTAAAATTTTGTCAACCATATTTAATCTATTCAAATAATTCTGCTTTAAATTAGCCTTCAAACTGAAAATGTAACTAGAATCACTGAACTCCCTACCTGTTACAGTGGTGAAAGTTATTTGTAACTATGTATATGAATATAAACAGTCAATGGTTCATCAGACACTCACTGTTGTGGCTGTATTAGACTAAACATGAAGACTATGTTAACAGAGGTAGGCTGTCCTCCTTTCTTCCTCTTCCCCTCCTTTCTTTTTCTTAGTCTTCCCTTTTTTTCCTCTCTTCTTCTAGGGTTCATTCTAAATGACTCAAAGTGAGCTATAGCTTTTTTTTTAAATGAGAGTATAGACCAATGATCAGTAATCACAAACTATTCTAAGAAACGGAAGTACCACGGTGGGTGTTACATGCACACTAAGAACAATGCTGAAGACGAGGCCCTGAGTGTCACCTCTCACGAGCTGAGCAATGGAACTTGAATTACCAACTAAAAGCGTGTGTGTGTGTGTGTGTGTGTGTGTGTGTGTGTGTGTGTGTATACATTACCTTTCTTGAAATATTGATGTCAAAAAATTGTTTAGGTCTGACACTAAATGGTTCCTGTGTTTTGTCAATGAGTCCAGTCTTCATTTTTTCATGCCGTGGACTTATGATTTCACGTTCAATACACTGGAGACGAATATTAAAATCACAATCTCCAACTGGTTGTGCCTGAATGAAAAAACATTTTTTTTAATACTAACAATAACATTATCAGCATAACTGCCAAGGCTACAATACTATACACTATACAAATAGCAATCTTTTGGAGATGTCCTGTGAATAGCACATGCCCATCCCAATAATTAGACTAACAATAGCTATTTTTAAATTGTAATTACATACAGCACCAAGAGAAAATGGAATAGATCTATTATAAGATGGATCATATTTCAAAACTAAATTCATATTAATATAATTACTATATTAACTATATTAGTAAAACTAAAACCCAAATTTAGTAAAGTATAAACACTCAAAAATAGTGATCAGACTTCATAGCATCAGTAATTAGACACTTACTAAATAGATATATCCTCAATCTGAAAACTAGTAGGTTTACATTATGTTCATGTCCTATCCAGCCTCATAGTGTACATAAACATAGAAACACATCCCCTGGTTGACAGTAAGTAATTAACTGTGACACCATCACTCCCTTCTTGTTCCTCTGATCCAATCTCTATTGCTTCACAAGAGGGGCACACATGCTTCAGGATGTCTTTCAGCTTTGGAAGGATGACAACTTCTACACTCAACTAAGAACATGGAGTGAAAACATACTGAGCAGGAGCTAATACAATTTCTAAGATCTGGTGTCAGGAGTGGGATCTGGATTTTCACAGAACCTGGGGAATTAGGTTTCACCCAGGCGGCAGATGCCGCTCCCTTCCTTCATCATCCCAGCTACTTGGCAATCTCTTACAGCTTACTTCCCTGAGTATATATTGTGGTTTAATAAGGAACAGGAAAAACAAATAAGCTGAATAGATGTTTATTCAGGGAGAAATAATTTACAAAAGAGACAGATAAACACCAGCAGGTTCCTGGTCCCAAGGATGCCTCCGGATGCTCTTCTGTCCCCATTGTGTCCCTTCCCCAGACCTAGTTCCCCCAGGTAACGCACACCCCTGTCCCCACCCACAATGGACATGGTCAATGCCACAGGTGTGGACAAAGTGAATATCTTACTATACATTTAGAAGAAAGATGATGGACAACCAAACAGAAAACCTAAGTAACAGAACTAATATTTTTGTTCTTTCACAGACAAGCGCACACACATACATACATACATACATACATACATACATACATACATACATACATACATACGCACACACACACACACACACACACACAAAACCCTCTCCTGAAAGAATCCCAACAGTGAGAATTGTCCTAGAGAAACATATGCATATAAGGAAAAATTTTGAGAGTAAAAGCAAACAACAGAAACCCTGTTGCAAATCAAAACAAAGGATCAATTCTATTATAAAGCATAATGCCTAGCAAAACTTCAAGTGAATGGGTTAACTCTACACACACCAACCAGTAAGTCTCAAGAACCTAATGGAACAATTAAAATTTTAAAAAGGTCACAGAGTATATAACTAACACTAGAAACCTTGTAAAAGTTTGCAATGTGAATTCACAATATACACGAAGGTGGGTAAAATGTTTTTAAAAACATCATGGAAGCAACAAACGTTAAATTCATAGCAGAGGGGTACCCTGAAAAGAGAACTGAGAATAGAATAAGATGAGTGCATACAAGTTTGCTCTGGGATTTATAACTATTTCTTATTTTAAAAAAGTGTAGGGCTGTTGGGGACCATCACCATCCTCACAATCTCAGGTCTCTGAGATAGAAAATGACTGCCTCTTAAAGAAATAAACAGGTGTTCAGCAGAACATTCCAAGGTACAGGCTTGCAGTTTCATAGCCAGCTAAAGAATAGCTAAGGGCTATCTATCTCTCCTGTGGCAATTTACAGCCAATTACAGGTTAGCTAAACAACTTAGGGCATTCCTTCTACTGACCCTCTCACTCTGCCTATGTGCCAGTGCCCATGCCCTGGCTACGTGCAAACCCTGCTCATACCTTGCCCACAGTCCTACATAAGCCTCCTCTGAGAAAATAAAATTTACCAGCTTGATCAGAATACTGTCTTGCTGTCCATTCTTTGTGTCCCTTGCCCCTCATTTTCTTCTAGGTGTTCCCAGTTTGTCGTTGAATGCCCCACGGGTCGGGGCAGATAGGGCTGAGCAGATGACTCAGTAGATAAAATGCATACTGCCAAAGCAAGGTCCCCAGCATCACATGAAAAAGCAAGTCAAGGCACTACATAGCCTGTGACCCTGACACTGGAGGAAGCAAATCCCAGGACTCTCTGGCAGCCTGCCTAGCCGAAACAAGGAGTCCCAGGTTCAGAGGAGCCTGTCTCAAAAACAAGGTGGGGGAAACAAAAGACACCTGACAACAACCTCTGGCCTCCACACTTGCATGCACAGACAAGCAAGGGAGCACACATACATGCATGCACACACACACACGCACGCACAAATACAGAAAAATTAGTATGATTTAACAAATCTGGAACAAGGAAAATGGTACCTGCCACCAACCCTGACACCTAAATCTGATCCTCTGGCCCCAGTAGTGGAAGCATAGAACCAACTCCTCAAAGTTGTCCATAAGCCTCTATACTTAAGGTACAGCATGCACTCACATAAAATAAATGAATAAATGGTAATATTCATATTGTTCTGTACATTTATGCATGACCTAATATTTTTCCTTTTTTTTTTTTTCAAGTATTTCAATCCATTAGCTCAAAGAGAGAATTCCTTCCATGGGCTTATATATTTGAATGCTTAGTCATCAGGGAATGGAACTGTTGGAAAAGGATTAAGAGATGTGGGCTTATTGGAAATGTGTCACTGGGGATGAGCTTTGAGGCCCAGTATCTGTCTCTCTCTGTCTCTTTCCCTCTCTGTGTGAATCTCTCTTCCTACTTCTCTCTCCCTACCCCATCTCTCTGTCCTCCCTCTATCTGCTCCCCATACCATGATGACAATGAACTAAATCTCTGAAACTATAAACAAACTCCCAATTAAATGCTTTCCCTTTTAAGAGTTGCTTGTCATAGTGTCTCTTCATAGCAACTCAAAATCAGAGTTAAAACAAGACAACAAGAAAACAAAGTCACTCACCTGGTCTATAGGTCTAGTTGTAGATCAAGAAACATCATTTGCTAATAGACAGTAAGAGTCACCAATTTTGCAAAGTACTAGTTTTGAAAACTATAAATAGCAATTTAAAAAAAATAGAGAGATGAAATGGCTCAGCAGTAAAAAGCACTTGTTGCCCTTGCAGAGGACTCAGGTCTAGCTCTCAGCACCCAATTCCAAAGAATCTGAAGCTTTCTTCTAGCCTTCCTGAGCACTGCAAACAAGTGGTGCTCATTCATTCAGGCAAAACACTCATGCACAGAAAATAAAAACAAATAAATCTTTAAAAGAAAGAGCAAAATGAAAAGCTGATGTTTCCTAACTCAGTTCTTAAATTTGAAATTTAGTTTTAATTATAGAAATTCAGCCAAAACTTTAAATTAAATGCATTGAAATTATTCAGAAAAAAATGTCCATCAATAACTGGGATTGATGTAATCCTAAATTTTAACACTGTATCTTATTAAAGTAAAATATATTCCCCCTAAAATTGGCTTTTTAAATACTACTATACATCTTAAACTAGTAAGTGCTTTAATTCCAAAAATCATAAAATATTCTCAGTATGGTTTAAGCTAAGTAGCTGTCATTTTTGATTTTTTAAGATAGGATCTCATGAGGATATCATCAAACTCCTGATCCTCCTTCCCCAGCCCCCAGACTGTATCACCTTATCTGACTTTAAATACTTTTCATTTATTAAAAACATTTGTAATTTTATTACTGGAAGTATATAGCTCAATGGTAGAGTACTTGTCTAGTATAAGTAAATCCCCCTAAAACCACAAAAAATATTAATATATATAAACATACACATTATCTCAGTGACAATTCTAATAATTTCATAAATTATAAAAGGTACTTACATTGAATTTAATTATGTCATATATCAAATATCTTGGAACAGCCTGTCCGTTTACTTTGTCAATGATCATTTCCTTGAAAGAAACGAAAATTAATTTTTACTTTAATAGCAATTTATTTAATTTGATTAGAATGTAATACACACAGAAAAAGAGTATAAACCTTCAATATATGCCTTGATGAGACTTCAAAGGGAGCACACTTGTACTTACATCAAACCAAAATTTTTAGCATATCAAAAATCTTAACTATGTATTTATAATATATGTTGAAATAATCTCTGAAAGATTTTAGTTTGCAGGACAAGGATGTGGGAAAGGGGCAAGAGAATAATTCTTGCAAGCGGAATATAGAAGATCATAAAGAATGGACGTTGACATGGGAAGAAAAGACAGAAATTTTGAGAACAAGAAAGGTTACTGTGGTGATGGGGCTAATGGTTATGCTACGCTGATTCTGTTAAATAGGGCTAATAACTGAACCATCAATCTTTTGTGAAATAACTGAAGGCTCTAAATGTACAGCCAAGAGAAAGCCAGAGTATGAAAAAAGTTTCTCACAGGTCTTGGCCCACAACAAGGAAATAGGCCCCCAACCCTGGAACAAATGATTCCAGATGAACAGCCCTGTTTGGGTCACTCCTGGCCAATGGACAGTCTGGGAACTTTCCAAGTCATTCTATGGTTTATCCTTTAAATAAGAACAGGTCATACCTGGGTGATCTCTCAAACATGAGATCATACTTTGTAATCAATCACCTTGTGGCCCATGCATGTATGCTGATTTGTGATCTTCTCTATAAAAAGAGAGCCTGAACCCTTTGGGGGGGGTGCAGCTTTCCCCAAGATTGCTGTCACCCGAGTGCACTCGTTCAATAAATACCTCTTGCTTGTTGCATCTCCTGGTTTTGGTGTTTGTGTCGTGGGGGTCTCCCATTGGCCCATCAGGACCCCAGAATTAGGGTCCAACATGACGTTATCTCCTTGTGTTTTGGGTTGAGGGTGGGTAGATTTTTATGGAGGCAGGTCCTTGCTATGTAGCCCCTGGATAGCCTACAGCTCAAAAGGTAGCCAAAGCTAGTCAAGAACTCTCAGAAATCCTGCTGTCTCAGCCTTCAAAGTGCTAAATTACAGACTTGTACCATCACAACAAGTTCTATGTTTTGGGTTTTTTTTTTTTTCTTTTTCTTTTTCTATAGTTGAATGGCTACAATCTGCTTTATGTTTGGATTGCTAGCAATATTTAAGAGTAAATAACAAAGTTTGAAATTCAACATCTTTTTGATAATTATGTTTAATCACGACTGTTTAAATTTTTATATGCTAATTCTTTTAGTCTTATTATAGACTGAACTCCTACATCACTTTTTAAATTTTCATCCTACAATGACTTTTCATCCTACGATGACTTTACATCCACCACAGTCATTAAAAAGTGAAAACAAATACTTCATGAGGCATAATGGAACACATGTAATCCTAACATTTGGGAGGCAGAGGCAGGAGAATGAGGTTCAAATCAGTACTATGATTATAGGTATATGCCACCATTCCCTAGTTATGCAGTGCTTTGGATGGAATCAGGCAGGGTCCTGTTCATGATAAACAAGTACTCTACCAACTGAGCTACAGCCCCAGTCTCAATTTTGTTATTTTAACCTGTTATTGAAATTTGTGTAATTATTTGCATCTGAACACCTGATGTAATAACAAGGTGGTACCAAGATTTCAGTTAATGGTTCTTTTCAAAAACTGTGACTAGAAAAAGTAAATGTTTAAATTGGATAGCAAAGGATTACAAATTATCTGATAAAATGAGTGGGGGGGGGGGCCTTTCCCTTAATCAGTGATTTAAAAAGGAAAGTGTATTGTCAACAAAGTGTAATAAGTAAATAATGAGCAAGTGTTTTTTGCCTGTTTAAAAACAACCCACAACACAAAACACAATTCTCATCTAGGTTCATCTTTAAAAAGGAATTTATTCACTATAAGTACAGATAAAAAAGTAAAATTCAACATTCAAATAATAATTGTACTTGACTTTAAATTAGACATACTGACAATGACTGCACTACTTAATTTTTAAAAAAAATACATATAAATAAATGACTTACTCCATCCAAAAGGGTATTTGATAAATGCATCCGGAGATCTTTACGAAATGGAAATTCCAGATTTGAAACATGAAATACTGAATTATCTCTATCAATCATAAAAACTTCATTTGTGCCATCAATCAACATCATGTAACTGTAATAAAACATTAAGAAGGTAGTATTAACATATGGTATCAAGTACAGGGTCATTAGAACAGCAAAACTTGTTTTCCCTAGACTGATAACATTTTCATTAGTACAGTCCTTCTCTTAATCATGCAAATTTAAACACCATTTTTTTAATCTTACTTTCTATAAGAAACATAAAAATAGGAAAATCTAATTTTTATGAAGATAATATGATGTCAGGAGTGCATATATGATGTATAAGGAGAAATATTTCTCTAATTTTTTATGTTTATGTCAAAGAATTTCAAAGTTTACAAACATAAACATATATACTGTATTTTACAAATTAGATAGTACCTTTTCCATATCAAAGGTGAAAAAACATTGAACTCAAATTATCCAATGCTCTTTTCTACCATACCAACTGCACAAGTTCTCTTTGAATCGAGAATGTGATATGTAAAATATCAGACTATTATAATTCTTCTCATTCAAACAACAAAATTAAAATATTCTAAATACAGCTATAATTTTTCATTGGCCTTTATCACCAATCAACATATGGGAAATTTATATGCTTAATAAAGTAATCATTCTTCATAAGTCAAGTTAAATATATGATGTCCGCAGGTCAAGAGCAGAGTTCCAGTCCAGGCATGGAGCTCATGTTTATAATCCCATGGTGGTGCACATCTTTTATCCCAGTCATTGGGGGTGCAGAAGCAGGCAGATCCCTGAATCTGATGCCAGCCTGGTATACAGACCAAGTTACAGGAGAACCACAGTAAATAGTAAGACCCTGTCTTAGGGGGAAAAAAAAAAAAAAAATGGTGGGTATAGGGCCCAGCATGGACCCCTGAGGCACCTTGAGCAACCCTGAAGCTGTTGGTTGGAACATTTTGCTCCCCCCCCCCAGTTGTTATTGGTACATTTCCTGTTTCTCTGCCCTCTGGAATTGTTATTGGTACTCGTTCTGTTTTGTTAACACATATCTGCTGGGGAAGAGCTAAGCCTGAAACCCTGTTGTTTTCCACTGTGCCAGGAGTCAGTATATAAGCCCACTCCTTGCCCTCAATAATCAGCGTTGGGCATTCTGACATTCCTGTTGGGAAGCTGGGGAAACAACTCATTCCGTAAAATGCTTGCTATGCAAGCATGAATATCTGAGTTTAATCTGTACTACCTATGGTGACCTGAATGAGAATGGGCACCCATAAGCTCATGTTTAGCAAGGATGAGGTGTGCCCTTGTTGGAGGAGGTGTGTCACATCAGTTTCAAGGTTTCAAATGCTGTGCCATGCCTACTGCTCTCTCTGCCTCCTGCTTGAGGTTCAAGATGTAAGCTCTCAGGAGCTGCTCTAAACACATACCTCCTGTTCTGCATCATGGACCCTAATTCCATGAAATAAACTCTTTCTTCCATAAGTTGCTTTGGTCTTGATTAGAGCGACAGAAAAGTAACTAAGAACCCCTTAAGAAAGCAAGTGTTAAGACACACACTGGTAATAGCAATGCTAGGAAAGTAGAAACAGGTGGAACTCTGGGACTAACTACCCAACCAAGCTAGCCCTATCAGTGAGCTTCATGTCCCAGTGAGAGATCCTGTCTAAAAACACAAAACAGAAAATCAACCCTCCACACACATCACATATACACACATGTACACACAAATAAAAACAGTGCTCAAATTTCACATCACATAAAAATAAAAGTCCAGGAGGTAAAAGTAAAATGATCAAGAGTTGACAGTTTCTCTAGGTTACATAGCAATATCCTGGCAAAAGCAGCCAAGTTATTTGTGTCTGATGTCAGAAAGGGTAGAGGTAGAAAGTGTAGTTCAGTTGGCAAAATGTTTGCCTGGCATACACAGAGCCCTACCACAGAAACCCAGAATGGTGGCAGGGGCTTGTAATCCGAGCACATGGGAAGCAAGGATGATCTGAAGTTTAAGGTCAACTTTGGTTACAGAGTGGTTTCCAGGGGACACGAATGTGGAAGAACATTCAAGATATAACACTGAAAACAGAGGAAAACAATGACCCATCCAACCACCTAGCCAAAGAATACAGTGTGTCAGCAACAAATAAAAGATGGAAGGGAAGCAAACTAAAATCAGGACATCACAATAATGTGTTTACTGTATGCGTTTAGTAAGGTAAAGAGAAATAGGAAAACTGACTAAAAAATAACACAAGCAACAGGAAAAGGAGCAGCAGTGAACATCAAAGGAGCTTATAAATGAGGGCTAGCATGGTATTCCTGGCTGTTCCTAAAATAATTATTCCAGATGACCCTGAGACAGATTGTTCAGGCCCTTGTTACACATGAAAATAGCTACAGCCCTAATAGATGAAAAGGGCAGAAACTAAGAAAAAAAATCAACCTCAGTCTGGAGAGAAGAACTGGTGAACCAAATATGAATCCAGCAAGTTCAAAAGCAACAGGAATACTTAATACTCAAGGCTCTCTTAATATGCTTCTTAAACACAGTAATTCCAAGTATAGATGAAGGAACTAGGCTCCTTGAAAGAAGAAATGTTCTACACTATGTTCCAAAAGAAATTTAAGTCAACATAAGAAAGAAAATGTCAAATAAAGAACAATTATGACAATGTCTACAAATATGCTATACAAGATACACAATCCACCATATTTAAGGTCAAAGGTGTTTAACAGAAAAACAAGTTAGGAAAACAATGTATCATTCTCTTAGAAAGTCAAGATATACATACATATTAGACTATTTTAAATTGCAGGTAAGATGTAGTGATATGTAGTACCAGCTCTCAGAGATATTGCAGAAGCAGAAGATTCTGGAGTTCCAAGTCAGCCTTAGTTATATAGCCTGATCATCAGTATCAAAAAATAAAACAGGCTGGACACATTGCTCAGAGGTTTTCTCTGGCAGAAAACAGGTATTCAATTCTTAGCACCCAGATGATAGCTAACTACAATCTGTAACCTTCAATAACAAGATATCCAATGCCTTCTTCTAAACTCCCTAGACGCCAGGTACTATTATACATAAATTCAAGAAAAACAATCATATAATACACACAAAATAAGATTTTTAAAACCAAACACAAAAAAAAACTTTTTTAAAGAAATTAAATAACTTTATCTCTCTTATTGTACCAGATTTCTAAACTTAACCCCAACTCAAAACTCAAGAAAAAAACAGGCTTTATGTTAATACATTTTCAAATTTAAGAAAAAAATGGTTTGCCTCTTCTGTGCCTAAGGCAGATACTATATTTCTCTTTACTTGCTACTTATAAATTAATGAATTGATGTTAATATAAAATAAATATTCATTTCTAGAGTAGGGATTTACTAACTTGAGAGAGACACAGACACACACACAAATCTATGTATCTTTTGTGCTGAACTTACTTTCTACTTTGAACAGATGTGTCAATTTTTTTAAAAATACTGTAGGGGCTTAAGAGATGGCTCAGTGCTTAAGAACACTGACTTGTCTTCCAAAGAACTTGAGTTCAGTTCCCAGTGCCCACATGGTGGCTCATAATCACCTTGAACTGCAGTTCCAGGGGATCCAGTACCTCTTCTGATCTCCATGGACACAACAGAAACATGGTGCACACACATGATGCAAACACAAAGTAAAAAATAAATATACTATATACATAAAATACTGTGTACCTGTGCATTACCAACAGGTTTAAAAGACCAAAAACAAAAAGGCTTTGGAAGATAAAATTTACTGCAAAGGATTACTCATGTGAAAAACAGCTTTATTTAGAGAAATAAAAAAAAAAAAAAAAAGTTGTGCTCTTTTATTTTTTATTAGTACGGAAAGTACAATTTTTGTCCTCAAATCTAATCATTCCATCATTCCAAATAATACATCCTTCTATTATGTGATAACTACAGAAGAAATGAGAAAATGAGAAGTGCTAAGAATACATGTCAGTGGTTGAGTACTTGGCTAGCACGTACAAGGCCCTGTTAGCATGTAGGTAGGTAGGTAGGTGGGTGGGTGGCTGGCTGGCTGGCTGGCTGGCTGGCTGGCTGGCTGGCTGGCTGCTGGCTGGGTGGCTGGGTGGCTGGGTGGCTGGGTGGCTGGGTGGCTAGCTAGCTAGCTCATGCTCAGGAACAAAGATAAAGAATTGTAGAACGTATTTATTCTCACATCACACCCAAGACCATGAAAGTAAGAAAGATTATTTTTGAAAGAGACAACTACCTCACATAATGCTAGATACTGGCTCAGGACCTAACTACATATCTTCTTTCACCAACCATGAACCACTAGTGTAATATAATTTCTCTTTAGGAAATTATTTCAATTGCACATTTAGTACTCAGAATTATTTATGATCATATGTATTCTCATTAAGACGCAAAATTTCACTGAAACCTTTTCTTTTCCTATCATGCTTTTTGTTGTTAGTTTTTTACAGACCTCGCTGTGTAGCCCAGGCTGAGCTCAGGCTCAACAAGCCTCCCCAGTCCAGGGTTGGGACCACAAACATGCATCACGCACAGTCATAGATTATAGAAAAGTCATAGAGACCGAATGTTTTGCTATAATTCTATGTTTTACTTTAATTTTACTATAATTCTATGCTTTCCAGCTGACTAGAAACAATCCAGTTTTATCTTGGTCAAGTGAAATCCCCAAAATATGCATTAGTAAAAATTAGGAAGTACAGAGAAGAGAAACGACAAAGTTGTAAGCAACAGCACAGTAAAGTCTTAATTCACAATAACACCGATTATCATATTACCAATTCACAACTCTGATAATTTACATTTCAAAATATTTATCTTAGGCTTTGAAAGCAAAGATCTGTCTCTTATTTATTCGTTATAGACCAGGTCTATTTCAATATACACAAGACAATTAATGCTCAAGCCAGGCTATGTACAAGGAAGTTCATCATACTATTTGTACTAATGAAAATTCAATATCCATCCCTGACAAATATACTAAATAAACTCAGCTCACCCATAAAAAAGCATGGTATTCCACTATTTTAAAACATAAACACATCCATTAAT